CTTTTCTGAAGGGCACTTGACGAGATCGGATGACGGCACTTTTTGTCTGACAGAGGCCACCAAACAGACTGAAGCCAAATGGTTATTAAACATTTTGCGCCAACGGATGAGATACGGGGCAGCGCAAGTGGTTAGCTTGTTTGCTTTGCAGTTCTGAGGTTCAGGGTTCAAATCTAAGCTTCTTCAGCTTCCTCCCACAGTCAAAACCCATACATGTGAGAGTCAATGTATCGCCCATAGGTTTGGCTGTGAGAGGCTGAATCTCACAAAATGTTGTTTCAGATAGTTTTACCACTCCCACGCAAACATTAAAACTCATTAAAAGACACTTTGTAAAAGTATTCTTTTGCCCGCTTTGCACTCTCGCAGACAAGAAATGGAATAATATTGTGTAAAATCACCTGTTAGAAATGGGGAAAAAAGAAGACTGGCTTGCACATAAAATAAGAGTTCAACATGATAAATGTTCATCCAAATCATGTAATTTCCTTTGACAAAAGGCGCTAGTGTAATGCTAACATGTAACATGAAACACCTTTGAAGGGCTCACGGAAATTAGCATAGATGTTGCGGTAATCATAAGCCTTGAAACAGCTGCTGCTTCAACACAAATGAAGCAGCAACAGAGACAGACAGAACAAAGCAAAATTCCTACAGGCAGTATTCTCTCTGCTCTGTGGGGACTCCGACTTGCCTCTGCACTATAAAAACCCGTAAAAAAAATTGTAATATAGCACGGCATCATGAACGATGGACCGCATTTTGTGTATATGCAAATTCTGGATAGAAATACAGTATTATAAACAATTGGAGGGTGCCTGGTAGGATACAGTGGCAGCATATGCACAGGTATTTTTCATTTCCTCGTCTTTCAAAATATATAGATAAAAAAAAAAGTCTCAATAGACCCAAGCAGGGCTGAACATTATTTTCTTTGTTGTTAAAGGTTTGGACCCAGGTATTGAATTTCCTTTCCATTATGTAGCTGCACCTTAATGTTGTGACACATATTGGTTCTCAAAAGTCAGATGAAAGACACCAAAGGGAGTCTCTCCTGCGCCGAGAACCGTCAACATAATTCATGGTGAAGAGCGCCATGTTTCCCGCACATTTTCCTGGCCTGCCGGACTCCCTCGCGGTCGAGTCAATCACGAGCGTCCCCCGTCACGAGTTGAGAGTGGACGCGGCGTAATGTTGTTGTGGCGCCACAAAACCCCAAGGAGAGACACGCTCCTGGGGGTGGCGTGCTGGCGTTTTGCACGTCGTACCGACGGTGAATACGTGGCACGAGATCAGAAACGTTGCGGTCTGCGCTCAGAGGGCGTGTTGCATGCAGAGTAAGATGCTCGAAAAACAACATATCCATTCACTGACTCGCACAGGCCAAGATAAACAAGTGTTGACTACCACTTTGATAAATGATTTATCGTGTTGGAGGAAAAAAAAAAGATTGCTACCTATGTTGTGGTTGTTAAACTGGCAAACACACATTTAGCTCCATCAAGGAGTTTTTTTATTTCCATTGCCCGACACATATATATTTTTTAACCCTTTCAGGGACAGCTTTTCATGTTATTAGGTTACAGGGTGCATGAAAGAGTTCATCCTGGTCTCCCTACATTGCAAATTTTCACTTATTTTGGATTGGTCTGGCAGTAAACTTGAGTTCACTCTATCCAAATGATTTTTATTTGCGTACGTGCCACGTAGACGGCTTTGTACACCAATCACCGAGAGTAATTGGGCCGCTTCCATCCATGAAAGTTCAGCCAATCGCCTTCCTTACAGTGCCTTTTCTTCTCCCAGTTCTCTCCGCATCATTACTCATGTTGCATTTAGGCCCATAATGTCTTTCTGGTCTTTGTCTCAAACTTTTCCCATCCTTGAGAAGCCTCCAAGTTTTTGCTTGTCCTTGTCGCTACTTTGCTAATTTTGTCTGTGTAGGCTTAGTTGGATGCATAATAAATCTGAGGAGTTCCCTCCTCAGTACAGGACAGCAGAGATAGCTATACATCAACAGCATTTGAGAGTGCCCCCTGTTCATCTCTTTCAGTGAGCCAGCGCATCAATTTTGCTTGTTATATTTATTTTTATTTCTTTATTTTTTTTCTGGAGTTTAGCTGACAGTTAAAACACAAGGATGCTCACTGCCAAGAAACTCGAAATTGCCGCACGTCACCAGAGCAGCGCTAGCAAATCATAAATTCATGAAGAAGTCACAAACACTTTCGAATGAGTTGGAGAGAAAGTTGTCAAGCTCGGCATATACTTGCCGAGGGCGTTGGGAGTGTCCGCCAGAAGTGGCAAAAGCGCTTGAAAGCTATACTTAAGGAGAAGTACAGATACTTGTGAAGGAAAAAGACGTTGGCAGAAGTGCTGATCCAACTCCTCTCCATAAGTAAAAAATATACCCTAAGACTCCAAGATTTCAGCAACAGTTACGTCTTTGTTTTCGTCTTTTTAACATTGTGTTGTCTTTTGCGGAGTTTGGAATGTAGTAGTAAAACTCCAAAGTCATCTGAAAAATATAATTCAGAAGAGTGACAAAGTATTTGTACTTCTAGCTACAGCTAAGGTGGCGTCTTCTGGTCTGAGAGTCTCATCTGATTTGCCAGATGGTTTGTCTTGTGAATTTTACTCTTTCATTTGAGCTTCTGGAATTAATCTTGTAAATCGACAATAAAACATTTTCTGCTGCAATCGTATCTAACCATGCTGGGAAGAAAGTTAGCCAATGTTAGCTGTTCGTTAGCAAAATGATGCTATGCTACACGGCCTTTGTGTTCCTGCTTCCCGGTATTGATACGTGTGGCGAAAAGATTACACCAAGTGTATTTTAATTTTTTTTTTTATTTTTTTTATTTCAAACCAAGAATAGAATTTCATGGAAACAGACCAAGTTGGGAAAAAATGGGCTGCTAGTTAGCTAAACGCTGCTGCATTTCATTGCCTTTGTTTAGCTGCTTTCCGGTCTTATGGATAAATATCATAACAAATGTAGTCTACAACCAAGCTCCGTAGAACCAAACACGGAAGAAATTAGCCACTAATAGTGGCCAGTAATGCTTTGCTAAGCCACACACGGTAAACCCAGATTGGCCAACCATGGTGTGGTATAGAACAGTGACAATTCCCTGGCTCCAGTTTACACATTCTATATTTTTGCTCTTTTATCTGCTAGTGATGGTTAAACATTGTCCCCGGTTTGTATTACGTAAAGGATGTGGTTTTTAAAAATGTATTAATTTTTTTGGTACCATTCTTATGCTTGAGTGGCCCCACCACAAGCACCTGTAAGGGCATCTGAGGCAAGTGACAAGCAGAGGGATGGCTATAATTTGACTGAGGAGGTAAAAGGCTCTCGACGCCTCCCCAATTCCAATTAGAATTGGGTTTTGGTGGTGAATCCATAAACGTCATCCTCGGCTAATCTGACCCGTTCTTTTCTGATACCGCGCAACGTAATGAGTTGTAGCGGCGGTGACATCTCACATTTACAGGCTCCAGTCTCGCCCTTCAGAGCCGCGAGCGCTTTTGTCACGCTTCGACTCATGGCGACTGCTGAGTGATCGAAATTGATCATGGAAATTAGGGCAATGACATTGTTACCACACTTGTAACAGAGGTGATTCAGTAATTGGCATGCTAACAAATGCCAATACAGGGGCCAAGTCGAATGGATTCCAGGCTTTTATGTGCCTGTCCCTCTCTGAACCTGTTCACCCTTTCATGAACCCGCTAACATGATAAACTGTGTTCTGTAGTCACCGCTGTCCCTGAAACTGTTAAGAACCTTAAATCAGCCACACAGTATTATGGAAAATGTACTTTTTAATATTTTTATCAAAATAGGTTGGCACTTTGGAGTTATCAGTTGTTTAATGTGAAATTTTCAGTCCCCATTTACAACTGAAATGATAGAGACCAGTCGGGGTGTTGCGGTCAAAGCAAAAGGAATTTACATTTGACCAAACCGCGGCCCGATGCTTCTAAAATCCACAACTAACCCGGATAAATGCAGGCTTTGGAGAAAGCAGTTGAATCCCGTCAAGCTCAATTGTCTGCAAAGACTTACAGTCGCATAACATTTATGAAAGAAACTCTGTCCCATCTTTTTTTTTTTTTCTCGTAGAAAAACATTCATGGATCATATATGAAGGCATATAGAATTGCAGGTGGTAAATTCCGACCTGCGACTCATCAAAGAACCCTGGATAATACCAGGCCTGCTCTTTGATCCCCCCCCCCCCCCCCGTCACCGTCTTCCCCGTCGACTTGGCGAGCCTTTCGCCCTCGCCTCGCTAGATTGCCTGGTGCCCTGCAGTGAGGTTTCACTTCATTTCCATACACGGCGCACACATCAAACGGCATGTTTCCAACAAAACAAACTCCAACGGGAGCGTTCAGGTTGCTTCTACCTCTGCTGATCTGTTT